GTCTTTTTACTAGAATTTGAGTTCTGTACCCCACTTTTCTCCTGCTCCATCAGACTCTCTGCTGTGGTCCCTGTCAGGGTAGTCTTTGGTGGTAGCCCAGCACCATCTAGTTCTTCTGGTCTCAGGCTGATGAAATCTCTGGTTTATGTGGCCCTTTATGTCTCTTGGGCTAATACTTTCCTTGTGACTTTGGTGTTCTTCATTCTCCTTTACTCCAGGTGGGTTGGGGCCAATTGATGCATCTTAGATGGCCACTCACTAGCTTTTAAGACCCCAGATGCCACTCACTGAAGTAGGATGCAGAACATTTTCTTAATAAACTTTGTTACGCCAGTTGACCTAGATGTCCCCTGAAAGCATGGTCCCCAGACCCCTGCCCCTGCTACTCTGTCCCTCAAAGTGTTTGATTGTATTCAGGAAACTTCTTAGCTTTGATTTAGTCCAGTTGTGCTGACTTCCCCTGTAGTGCATACTGTCCTTCCCTTCATCTAAGATAATTCTTGTCTACTATATTGTTAGTTAGTAACCCTCTCCCTCCCTTCCCACCTTTATAACCATCAAAGAATGTTTTCTTCTGTATTTAAACCTTTTCTTGAATTCTTATAATAGTGGTCTTATACAATATTTGTACTTTTGTGACTAAATTCACTCAGCATAATGATCTCAAGCTTCCTCCATGTTATGTTTCACAGATTTCATGGTTGTTCTTTACTGTTGCGTAGTATCCCACTGTGAATATACTGTAATTTGTTTATCCATTTATCTGTTGATGGGCACCTAGGTTGTTTCCATCTTTTTGCTATCATGAACTGTGCTGCAGTGGACATGGGTGTGAATATATCTATTCATGTGACGGCTCTTATTTCTCTAGTATCTACTTCAAGGAGCAGGATTGCTGGATCATATGGTACTTCCTAGTGTTTTAAGGAAGCACCAAATCGATTTCCAAAGTGGTTGTATCATTTTACATTCCCACCAACAGTGTATAAGTGTTCCAGTCTCTCCACAACCTCTCCAACATTTATTATTTTGTGTTTTTTGGATTAATGCTAGCCTTGTTGGAATGAGATGATATCTCATTGTAGTTTTGATTTGCATTTCTCTAATGGCGAATGATCATGATCATTTCTTCATGTGTCTGTTAGCCACCTGAATGTCTTCTTTGGTGAAGTGCCTGTTCATATCCTTTGCCCATTTTTTAATTGGGTTGTTTATCTTTTTGTTGTTGAGGTTTTGCAGTATCTTGTAGATTTTAGAGATTAGACGCTGATCGGATTTGCCATAGGCAAAATTTTTTTCCCAGTCTGTAGATTGTCTTTTGACTCTTCTGGTGAAGTCATTTGATGAGCATTAAGTGTTTGATTTTTAGGAGCTCCCAGTTATCTAGTTTCTCTTCTGGTGTTTGTGCATTGTTACTTATGGGTAGTATTCTGTTTATGTCATGTGTACGCTCCTAGCGTTGTCCTTATTTTTTTCTTCCATGATCTGTATCATTTTAGATTTTATACTTAGGTCTTTGACCCATTCTGAGTTAGTTTTTGTGCATGGTGTGAGGTGTGGGTCTTGTTTCAGTTTTTTGCAGACGGATATCCAGTTATGCCAGCACCAGTTGTTGAAGAGACTGTCTTTTCCCCAGTTAATGAACTTTAGGCCTTTGTCAAATATTGGCTGCTCATAGGTGGATGAATTTATGTCTGGATTCTCAATTCTGCTCCATTGGCCTATGTATCTGTTGTTGTACCAATACCAGGCTGTTTTGACTATCATGGCGATATAATAGGTTCTAAAATCAGGTAGTGTGAGGCCTCCCACTTTGTTGTTCTTCTTCAGTAATGTTTTACTTATCCGGGGCCTCTTCCCTTTCCATATGAAGTTGATGATTTGTTTCTCCATCCCATTAAAAAATGCCGTTGGAATTTGGATAGAGATTGCTTATCTGTAGATCACTTTGGGTGGAATTCTTCTTCAGTAATGCTTTACTTATCCGGTGCCTCTTCCCTTTCCACATGAAGTTAGTGATTTTTTTCTCCATCCCATTAAAAAATGCCGTTGGAATTTGGATAGGGATTGCATTAGCTGTAGATAGCTTTGGGTAGAATTGACATTTTCACAATGTTGACTCTTCCTATCCATGAGCAAGGTATGTTTTTCCACTTAAGTAGGTCTCTTTTGGTTTCTTGCAGTAGTGTCTTGTAGTTTTCATTGTATAAGTCTTTTACGTCTCTGGTTAGATTTATTCCTAAGTATTTTATCTTCTTGGGGGCTATTATAAATGATATTGATTTGGTGATTTCCTCTTCAAAGTGGATTTATGAGAATTCTTAAGTGAGACACACACATGCACATACATACAGTTGCCATTGACTCTATTTCAACTCCCATGGTGACTCCATGTGTGTCAGGGTAGAACTGTGTTCCATAGAGTTTTCAATGGCTGATTTTTCAGAAGTAGATCACCAGGCATCTCTGGAGTGATTCAAACCTCCAACCTTTCAGTTAGCAGCCAAGCACTTTAACTGTTTGCACTACCCAGGGATTCCTTTTATATGTTAGTATCCTCTTAATCAGGTTTTGTTGCTGACGTTATGCCGGCTTGCTTCATAAAAAGATTAAATTGGATTGGAATCATCTCTGGTTCTATCGTTCTGTGTTTTACACTTTGAAATCTGTTTCTCTGGCTTCCTCTCCTCCCTACCCCATCACGCTTAGCCCCAGATCTAGTGATGAGTGTTCCTCAGGCCTCCCCACCTCCTCCAAGTCACTGTCAGGAGCAGCCCCTCCCCAGTCCCTCTCTGCACTCCCCAAGGCTGGGAGGAAGATTTGGACTCTAGGGTATGGAGGAAGCAGGAGAGGCCCAGTTCTTCCCCAGTTCCACCTCTGAGGCCCCCCTCACAGCTGATGCTGCAGCCACACTCCCCTTTGGCCCCAGGTATGCCCTCTGAGCCTTTGGTCTAGCTGGTCTGGATTGCCTGGAAGCAATTCAGTTAACAACTGTTTATTGAACAGACAGACAAGATTTCTACTCTCGTGAAGCTCACAGTCCACTAAGTGTGGTGGGGGGAGGGGGGCAGACAATCAACAAAGAAGTTAGTAAAACCCATAGTATGCCAGATGGTAATCAGAGTGCTATGGTAGCTTAACTGCATGTTTGGGTATTAACAGGTCAAGTCTATGTCAGCCCCTTCCCCTCACCTTCTGGGTTCTTTTTGAGATTGCTTTTGTGTGTGTGTGTGCAATTACTCTCCCATGAAATTTCATAAGCAACTTGTCAGGTTTTTAAAAAACATTGGTGGGATTCTGATTGAGATCGTGTTGAATTTGTAGATTTGGGAAGAACTAATATAACTGAGGTAGTCCATTCATGAAGATGGGAGTTTTTCCTTTTAATTCAGGTCTTCCTTCTCTATCATTTGTTAAAGTTTTATCCATAAAACCCTTTACAGCTTTTTGTTAGATGTATTCTGAGGTCCCTCATGGCCTGTGTTGCCGAATATTTTTTTTCTCATGTTTTCTACTCAGTGATTGCTGGTCTATAGGAGACCACTGCTGGCCAGAGGTTTCTTTCTAGAACATTGATCTGATGTCACTCTCTGTTCAGAGCTCTGCCTGGTCCCTGCGACTGGCAGGGTCATGACTGACTCCACAGCAGGTGCCTTGCCTCCCTTGCTTTGCCCAGTGGACTGGCCTCTGTCACCTCTGGGCTTGGCCCATGCAGCCTCCCCCACCTCCCCTCCCCTGCGCAGGCCGTCCTGGGTTCCCTTCCAGTGAGAACTGACTCTCCATCTCCTATCCGGGACCCACAGGGGAGAAGAAGGCCCAGGGAATTCTGCGGGGCCAACCCTGAATCCCACAGCAGTAGGGGTCAGGGCAGATGGTGAGAGCCCAGTACTGATGCCTGTGATGCCCACCCGGCTGCACTGGCAGTGGGAGAAGAACCCAGTGGGTCTGATCAGGAGCTGCTCTTGGTTGGGTCTTAGGAGCTAGTGATCGAGTTGCTTGGCAGCCTGGGGCAGCAGAAGCAGCCTAGGCTCTGGTTGTCAAGCAACCATAGAAATCACCATGTGGGCCTTCCCTTGTGGAGGGCGGTGGGTGTCTTGGCCTGGCCTGGGCACCAGGAGCTAACAGACAGGAGGGGGTGGGGGGCAGCCTCCACGTGGCTAAAACACTGCCCTTCTGGGGGATAGGCAGATCTGGGTCCAGGACCCGAGGCATTAGGCCAGCCCCTGGCAGAGCCCAGCCCCCTCCCCTAGCTTTGAGCTGGGGTGATGCTGGTCTAGTCCGCTGGGCAGCCTGGGCCCAGACCCTTGCCCCCACTACGAACTCCCTCCCTGTCAGCCAACGTCCTGTTTCCTTGCGGGCTGTTGCTGTTTGCGTCATCAATGCCGCTCCATCCACCACAGACAGGGCAAGGTGGCGGAAAACTCCAATCCAAGGTTTATTGTTACTGGTGCTTGCCTACAAACAGTGTTCAGAAGAGGTACATTCAACAGCATTGACGGGCCCTCGGCCCTAGGGGAGGCCCGCGGGGCTGCCTGCCCCGGCCTTGTTACTCCCAGTGGGCCCCCTAAGGCATTGTACATGGTGTTTTCACTTTTATTTTTTTTTATATAAAAACCAAACCAGTCCCAGAGTAGAAAGAAAAACCCTGTGATGGACTTTCAGGACCAAAACTGAAGTAGGGAGGGTTGGAGTGGGGGTGCCAAGGGGCTGGGACAGTGGCTGCGGTGGTCCAAGCCTTGGGGAAGGGGGTGCGAGGAGACAGCAGGACTGGCAAGAGGGCCAAACTCAGACAGGAGCCCTGTCTTCATCATTTTTCACTTTCACATACCATAGAAAGTTAAGCAAAATAGCTATTTTATATATATTTATATATCATATGTATAAATTAGGCAAATAAAGGGTCCCGGGGCACTGAGATGGGTGCCCTGGAGCCGCCTGAGGCCGAGGTGGGAAGCTGGGTCTCTGGTGCCTGGGTCACCAGCCCAGGCCGAGCTGAGGGTTTGTTCATTATTGCTAATTTGGGGCCTGGTTCTGGGTCAGAAGCACCTGCAGGCCGTGCCTACCAGCCCTCCTGGCCTCTGGGGCCAGGGATCAGCCCTGGCACAGCCAGGGCCAGGCAATTCCATCCTCAAATCTACCTCTCCACCCCCTTGGTGTCCCCCAGGTAGGTGGATGGGGGCTGTAGCTCCAGGGACTCCTGTGTTCTCCTGGGCCAGGCCCCCCGTTTATGTTCAGTTCTCTGGGACCCTGGGCTCCTGGGGGCTGGGCAGCTCAGATACAAACGGGGCCTTGCTATGTTGAGCTACAAAATCTCCCAACTCAAAGGAGTCTGGCTTTCTGATCTCTTAAAAAGAGGGGCTCTTGCCAGCACACTTCTGTGGCAAGAAAGCACACTTGGAAAGTTTCTGCTAAGTGTTGTACTAAAAATACGTTCTAAAAGTCATGGCTGGAAAGAAATGGAGATCTTTTTTAAAAAAAACCAAGAGAGAGGCTCCCTAGGAGAAGCAGAGCAGCCCTCCCGGAGTTAGGCTGATGACGGGGGCTGCCCATGCCCGTGCCCAGCCTGTGCTGTGGTAACTGGGGAGCTAGGATCTCCGTCGGGCCCCAAGTCCACGAGGAGAGGGGCTTGGGGTGACCCGGTACACCTGGGGCTGGAGAGAACCCGGGTCAACACTCCTTCAAAGGTGATAGACCCAAAAAAGTTTAAAAAAAAAAAAAAGAAGTGGGGAAGAAGGGGGAGAGAAGGACCTTCCGTACTAAACGGAGAGCATTAAAGAAAGGTGGGCCAGGCTGTGCAGGCGCCTGTATTTCGGAGGGAGTTGGTGCTCAGAAGATGTTGGGGCACATGTGCCAGTCCTGCCTCTCCTTGGCCTCCCAGTAGCCGCCCTTGTACATACAGGCCGTCTCCCCGGTCAACGGGTCCAGCCTCTTCTCGAACCACAGCGGCGTGTATACCTCCGCCTCCTTCTCTGCTGGACAGAAAAGCGGGCCGTGGGCGGATGCTCCATGCCCTCCCCGCCCCAGGGGCGACCCTCCCACGGGGCACCCCTCCGCTCCCCTGGCTCCCCTCCCTCCCCGCTCCGGGGAACACCCTCCCTCAGGGTATCCCCCCACCCCTCCCTTTCTCGGGGGCACCCACTATCCCCGGGCGCCCTCCTCCAGCCCCCTCCCTTTCCCGGGGTAACCCCCCCCACCGCGCCACCTTCCGTGGGGCACACCCTCCCCAGCACCCCTCTCTCCTTGGAACACTCGTCCCCGGGCCCGCTCCCCGCCGGCCTCACCCTCCTCAGCACCGAAGCCGCCGCCCCGCGCGCTGGCCTCCAGCCGCCGCCGCCGCGTCAAGCGCTGCTTCTCCTCCAGCCGCTGCTTCTCCGTGTTGGCCTCGTCCCAGCGCCCCTTCTCCATGAGCCGCTGGTCGGGCCGCAGACGGCTGTCGGTGGGCGCCACGCCCTTCTCGTGCTCGTTCAGGGTCAGCGCCAGCTCGGAGAAGTAGTACATGTTCTCCGCGTTCTCCCTGCGGCGGGCGGCGGGTGAGCCTCCGCGACTGCGCCTCCCCGCGCCCAGGGCCCTCCGTCCCGGCCCGACCTTCCCTTGCGCCGCGTCCCTGGACCCCGCTAGAACGGACCGACCTGATCGCTGGCACCCAACTCACCCTTTACACCCCCCTCACCCCCCAGCTCCACCACAGCCACCCACCGACCTGCAGCTGTTCACTAAGTCATACTTCTCTGGGAATTTGTATGTTTGATCCAAATTCATAAACATAACCTTGTTTCATAATATCCTCAGTATTATTGCTTAAATGTCTGACACACCACGTCCCTGTTTGCATCTGTGATGTGGGTTATATGTGTCTTCTCTCTGTTGTGAACAGTCATGTCAGAGGCCTTGTCCGGTTTATTCCTGTTTGAGGATCAAACTTCTGGCTTTGTTGATCCTCTCTATTGTATGTTTGTTTTCTGCTTTGATTTTTGTTTTTGCATTCCTTCCTTCTACTTGGTTGGGGTTTATTTTGCTGTTCTTTTTCTAACTTCCTGAGATGTATGCTTAGCTCCTGTCCAGCTTTTCTAATATATGCATTTCAAGGCTGTACATTTCCCTCAAAGTACTGCTTTGACTGAATCTCACCATTCTGGATATGTATTTTCATTACCATTCAGTTCTAAATATTTTCTAACTTCTATTATATCTTCTTTGACCTATGGATTAGCTGGAAGTGTATTTCTTAATTTTATAAACATTTGGGGATTTTTTTTTTTTTTTTGCACAATTGCCTTGGAGTCAGACAAAATACTTGGTTTAATTTTAGTTCTTTGAAATTTCCTTTGTACCCCAGTATATGGTCAATTTTTGTAAATGTTCCATGTAAACTGAAGAGAATATGCTTTCTGCAGTTGCTCAGTGCACTGTTACTAAAAGAGGTATGCTCAAATTTCCCACTTTATCATTCTCCTTATATTTCTGTCAAATTTTGCTGTCTATATTTTGAGGCTGTTGTTATGTACAAGGTACGCTCACATTTAAAATTCATCTTCCTGGTGAATTGAACCCTTATTATGAACTGTTCCTCTTACCTCTAGTATTCCTTTGGTCCTACAGTCTGTTTTGTGATATTACTATAGCCACAGCAGCTTTTGTTACTATTTCTGTGGACATATCTTTTCCTATTCTTTTACTTCAGTCTTTGTCTTCTTATTTAGATGTATTGGTTGCAAATCAAATATAGTTGGAGTTTTCAAAAATTCCTTCTGAAAGGTTGAAAGTTAATTTGAGCTTTTAGACCATGTGCACTTAATATATAGGAGCCCAAGTGGCACAGTGTTCAAAATGCTCGGCTGCTAACCAAAAGATCTGTGGTTCGAACCACCGTTGGAGAAGTATGTGGCAGTCTACTTTCCTATAGGTTTACAGCCTTGGAAACCCTATGGGGGCAGTTCTACTCTGTCTTATAGGGTCGCTATGAGTTGGAATCTACTTGACAGCAGTGGGTTTTTGGTTTTATTTAACTACAAATGTTGGATTTAAATCTACTAATTCTTTTTTTTCTTTTTGTTCTGTTTTTGGACCTCAGGTGCACACATCTGGATTAGTCATAATCTTTGGTTCGTGACACTCTCTCTTTATTAGTCCTTGCACGGCCTGTTTTTATTAGTACAACCTCACCACTCTAAACAAAAGTTAGAACCCTGACAAAAACCTACATCTAACCATATGGAAAATGCACCAATTCACTCCATTCTCAGGTAGCCATCAACCTGACTCTTGGGGTCATCAGATGCTGGCTTTCCTTTTAATATAGTTTTATTGCATCTTTAAATATTCTTCTGTGTGTGTGTACACATTCACATACGTATATTACACATACTTGTTTTTAACTTCACAAAATGGTTTTGTAATCTTCTGGGACTTGGTTTTTTTACTTAATACTGTATTGCTAAGATTTATCTATATTGTTGAATGTTGCCGTGGTTCATTTGTTTTAACTGCTGTGTAATATTGTGTGAATATGCCACATTATTCATCCAATAAATTTGGGCTGTTTCCAAGTTTCTGCTATTGGAATAGTCTTATGCATGTTTCTTGTTGTACATTTGCCAGAAGTTCTCTTGAGTATATACTTAGATGAGTGGAATTGCTGGGTCACAGAATATGTGATGTTCATCTTTAGGAAATAAGGCCAAACTGTTTTCCAAAGTGATTGTACCAATTTACATTTCCACCAGCAACGTGTAAAAGACATTGTGACTCCCATCTTCTTTGACACATGGTATTATCAGACTTAATTTTTGCCAGTCAAATGAGTGTATCTCATTGTGGTTTTGATTTGCATTTCCATGATTACCAATGCTACTGACTGTATTTTCATATGATTATTTCCCATATGTGTTTCTGCTGTGAAATTCTTGTTCTTTTTTCTATTAGATTGTTTCTGGTTTATTAGTTGATTGGAAGTACTTTATGTATTCTGATACTAATCCTTTGTCAGGTGTAAGTATTGTGATTACCTTCTCCAAGTCTATGTATTGTCTCTTCTAGTTGCTGTCGAGTCAGCTCTGACTCATGATGACCTCATGTGTGTCAAAGTAGAACTGTGCTCCATAGGGTTTTCAGTGGCTGATTTTTTGAAAGTAGATAACCAGGCTTTTCTTCTGAGGTGCTTCTGAGTAGACTCAAGCTGCCAACCTTTTGGTTAGCAGTGAGTGCATTGACTGTTTGTACCACCCAGGAACTCCAGAACTACCATATGACCCAGCAGTGGAGGCGTATACCCGGAAGACGTGAAAGCGGGAATGCAACAGATACTTGTGCCCCAATGTTCACTGCAGCAGTGTTCACAATAGCCAAAAGGTGGAAACAACGTCAGTGTCCATCAGCAGATGAATGGATAAACAAAGTGTGTTATATACATAAAATATAACTCAGCCATAAAGAGAAATGAAGTTCTGATACATGGTATGATACAGACGAGCATTAAAAACATTATGCTGAGTGAAGTGAGTCAGTCACAAAAGGACAAATATTGTATGATTCCACTTACATAAATATCTAGAATAGGCTAATATATAGAAACTAAAGTTTATTACTGGTTACCAGGGGTGGGAGGGAGAGGGAAAGGGGGACTCATTGCTTAAGGGGCACTGAGTTTCTCTTAAGGGTGATGAAAAAATTGAAATGGATAGTGGTGTTAGTTGCACGACATGATAAACATAATTAATGTCACTGAATTATATACATAAAAATGTTGAAATGGCATGTTTTGTTATATATATTTTTACCGCAATTTAAAAAAAAGTGGTTGATATTACTGACAGATTTAGGGCAGAAGGCTGTTGTTCATAACTCTGATGTGACTTTACTGAATCCAATTTTTGGTTACTGCATCAGTGATTTCATAACTTTGAAAGGATAGTTTAGCTCATTTCAATGGATTCAAGTTATCCACGTGATCTAATTCTTTAGTCTACTAAGAGTTCTTTTATTCAAGTTGATAAACTTTAAGTTACATAAATGTCTTTGCACTTCTAACTCTAGAGACCTTTGCACTTATTGGGATTCCAAGAAATATAATTTAAAATTTTTTAGATCTGATGAATCTTGCATTTTTTTCATTCTTAGAACCATAATACTCTTAAAAATACTTATATACACATATATACGTATTTTAAAAACAAAAACAGTTTTCTGTTGGGTAGACTCTGGCTCGAGGTGACCTCTTGTGTGTCAGGGTGGAGCTGTGCTCCAGAGGGTTTTCAGTGGCTGGTTTTTCCGAGGTGCCTCTGGGTGGACTCGAGCTTCTGACCTTTGGGTCAGCAGCAGAGCATGCTGACCATCTGCACCACCCAGGGAGGACTCTCTCTATGTACGAATGTATGTTTATGTATATGTATGTGTATATATACATGCCTGTATATACATACGTACATATATATGTATATATACACACATATATACACACACACACACATACATTTGTGAATAAATGTATTCAATCTAAAAAAAAGTGAATTGATCCTCCTCTTGGGTAGACTTGAGAATAGCTTCCCTCTGTTTATTCCTCTTCTGACTTAGGCGATAGTGTGGTCATATTTTAACTTTATGTTTTAGATTTGAAACCCCACCAGTTGATTTACTGTCCATTTAGATTCACGTAATTTTGCCCTCTATTCATTCATACATCCTGGAGCTTCCCTCTGGGGTCAGTTTCCTTCTGCCTGAAAGATACCCTGTAGTGCAGGTCTGCTAGTGAAAAACTGTTTTCGTTTGTCTGAAACTATCTTTCTATCAATGTCATTCTTTGTGCTACTCTCCCTGGGTGTAGAGCCGTGGGCTGGCAGGATTCCATCGCCACATGTAAGATACCTTTCAGCCGTCTCCTCGCAGGCCGTTGGCTCACTGTTCCTTTGAAAGGAATGTCTTTTAAAATCTGACTAATACTTTCTCTTTGAGTTTTCAACAGTCTCATTCAATCCCTGTTAGATTTAGGTGGAAAATTCTTCACTGTTTTCTCCTCAGAGATGGTCCGTCTTTCCTTCTGGGATTCTGACTAGAGGTATATGCTAGACCCTGCTCGCAGACCTCCATTGTACAGACAAGTCCCCTGGGGGCCGCACTGAAATGCAGACTCTGACTCCGGAGGTCTGGGTGAGATTCCGCACAGAGTGTTAAGTATGCATGTTGTAATGTCTAGGGTAACCACTAAAATAATATATTTAATTGGAGTCCCAGAAGGAAAGGAAAGAACTAAATAAAAATGGGAAGGAGGAAGAAATAGTTAAAGATATAATGGAGATAAATTTCCCAGAATAAAAATTTCAAAAAAAAAAAAGTTGCCATCAAGTCGGCTCCAATTGATGGTGACCTCATGTGTTACAGAGAACTGCTCCACAGGGTCTTCTTGACTGAAATCTTAATGGGAGGAGATTGCCAGGCCTTTCTTCCATGGCACTGCTGGGTGGGTTTGAACCATCAACTTTTAGTCGAGTGCAAATTGTTTGGAAGAGATGAAAGACCTCGGATGGGAAGGGCTAAAGCCACCGGGGACCCTGGTGCTGCTGCTCGGGGACCCTACCCTGGGTCACTGGGTGGTTGACCTTCTCGCTTCGTGTCTTTTCCAGGTTTCATCTCTTGATAATTTCTTCTGATCTGTATTCAGTTGATGATTCTCTTTAGTTGTCCTCAATCTATTAAACCTTTCCATGGAGATGTTAGTTTCAGTTATTTTATTTTTCCTTGTAGAATTTCTATTTTGTTTTCTTTCGAAGCTGCTATGCCATTTTTTTATCATTTTCTGTTTCCTGCAGTTCTCTTCTAGTTCGTTTTTTCTGTCCCATCCCCCTGCTTCATGGCTCTGCATCATACTGCCCACCACCAGAGGGTTCACGTTTATTTCCTTGCTGATTGTCTGTCTTGCACTCTCCAGAATGTCAGCTGCCCGAGGGCACAGAGCTTTGGCGTGTCCTGGGCTGGGGTGCTTCCGCCTTCCTCTCTGCCTGTGGCTCTCTGGGCCCTGGTCCCCCTGCCTGTCTACTGCTCATGGGCCTCCCCTGCTCTCCCTCTCTCTGTCCTGCTCGCCCTCCCCACCTCGCCGCCCTCCTCTGCCCCGCAGCACAGAACCCGCAGGCCCCACTCACGGCAGTGGGTACTTCTTCCACAGCAGCTTGGCTGGCAGCGTCTGGTATACTGTCTTCTGCTTCCCGTCTGAGCTGGGGCTGCTGGGGCTGCTGTGCACGACCTTGGCGCACTCCATCTGCTCGTCCCATGAGCCGGACAGCACGTAGTGAGCCTTGCCCTGGCTGTCACTCACCACTCCTGTCACCTGTGGACACAGCAGGACCAGTGTGGGCACACGCTCTGCCCTGGGCCCCCAGGCTTCAACGGGCAGTCCTGCTTACCTTCCGGGCCGCCTCCTTGGAGAAGTAGCTATAGGGGAGGAACTTTAGCTGGCACCGGTCCTTGGTCTTATGGTTCACAATCTCGATGTCCCCAGTCTAGTGAGAGAGGTGGTGGTCGGCAGCCAGTCTGTGGGCCCCATGCCCCCCACACCATGGGCCCCCCTGACCTGGTCGATCCAGAGCTTCCCCACGATGATGTTATGCACAGTGGAGGTGCTCTTCCTCCACACGTAGTGATTCCCACTGGCCTGGAATTCTAAGTGGATGGCACCTGGTGGCCGGATGAAGGGTCAGCAGTCAGAGCTATCAGTGTGGGTCTGGCCTGCCCACAGCCCAATATCCTGAAGCCACATGCTGGAGGACCGGAGTTGTCTTCATGCAGACAGCTGGGGAGGCGGCCAGGAAGCCTGGCAAGGGGGAGGGGAGAGGACCCTCGGGAAGCCCCGGGAAGCCCCCAGCTGGCTTCTGGGTTGGTACGATCTCCCCCATTACCAGAATGTCCCTGCCCCTGAAGCACTTTGTGCCCAGCTCACCTAAGGGCATGATGGAGAGGTATTTCCCCCGGAACTTGCTGGAGATGGTGATCTCCTGCCAGAGACTCCAGCCATGCTTAGAGAAGACGTAGTGCGCAGCTGAGGGTGGGTGGTGGCTCACCTGGGCCAGACACACACAATGTAAGTGTCTGGGGACAGGTCCCAGGCATTAGCCCCAGCCAGGTGGGATGGCCTGCCCTGTCTCCGTCCTGTGCCCCTCTACCTCTCTGCACAGCAGTCAGGCCTGGACTCCTCCCCTGGGGGCCATGGACCTGTGGCAGGCCCCCTGAGGACAGTGCCTATGCAGATAAGCAAGGCCTTGGCAGCCTGGGTTGGAGTAGCCTAGGTTGCTGTCCTGGCCCTGCCAGGAGACAAGGGCCTGGCGTCTTCGAGCCCCATGGCTCTTGGGCTGTACAGTGGGGGTGATGGTGGGGCCTGCACTCCCAGGACCTGCCTATGACAGAGACTAATCAAGTGAAGGGTTTCGTTGCTGTGACTGTTTTCTTGTTTAATTTTCATAGCTGGCAAAGGGACACGTCTGACATGTCTGCTACACGGAGGAGGCCCAGACTGGCTGCCCGAGGGGTGGACGGGCCTCCTTCCAGCCTCACTCTAGAGTAAGTGACTACCCTGCCTTGGGCCCACTGTGGTGGGCCCTCTCGGCAGCCATAGGCACTGCTGATCACCACCTCACCTTCAGGGTACCTGCCCACCTGGCCCTCCTGCCTCATGGCAGCCCTTCTTCTCATCTCAGCCTGCTCCCCAGCCTCATCTATCTCCAGCTTCAGGTAGGCTCCCAGCTGACTTGCCACCTCCATTAGACAGGCTTTCTAACCCCAGCAGGGTCACCTGAGCTCCACCTACCACCCCTTCCCCGCTCTGGTGGTCTCCCCACTACTGGCTCCTGTCTCAGAAGATCAGCTCTACCCACCAGCTGCTCTTGTTAAGATGGGTGGGCTGTCCTTGCAGCTGGGCCTTCTTGGCCCACCAACTCCCACCCTCACTGGCAAACTCAAGGCGTGACCTTCAAGGAGATGGCTCTAAGTCTGTCAGCAATGCTCCCTTCTCAGCCGCAACGCCCAGTCCTTTCAGTTGCCCTTGACCCTGCCTTCTCTCTCATGGTCAACGTTTGATCCTTAGCCAGCCCTGTCTGCGCTTTTGTCAGTACATGCGTCCACAATCCGCTCCTCCCCCTAGTTGCACCTCTCCACCCCACCCCCCCAGCCCCAGGGCCACGCAGAACCAGTACAGCAGCCTGGGCCAGCTCTCCCTGCTTCCATCTTACCCCTGTGCTCAACAGTCCCCACAGTAGCCAGAGGGACCCTGATAATAACATGATTGGGTCCCACAGAGTTGGCCCACCTGCTTCCTGCAGGGTTCTGCTTTTGCCCCCACCCTCTCTTCTCCTTGACCACCCCCGTTCTAAGAGGGCCAGTCCCCTCCCTGTCCACCATTCAACGCACACAGGATCTGCACTCCCCCAACCACGCTTGCTTCCTTCCCAGCTAGACCCTTGCTAGCTCCTGGCACATGGGGGGCACTGCATCAACACTTGCTGAATGAATGAATACTCAGCGGTTCAGACCAAGAACTCTGGGTCATCCTTGACGTCCCTGCCACCTCATCCCACGTCCAAAGCATCAGCAGACCTGCTGGCACCCCTTCAGAACACGCCCAAGCTCGGACCTCTCTCCCCGGTCAGCCACGACCACCTGCCTGGGTCCACAGTTGCATTCTACTGGGCCCACTGAGCACCTGGCATGTAGCTGGTGCTCAGTGGTGGCAGTGCCTGGACCTGGCACTTCCACCCCAGGCACTTCCACGTGGTATCTGCCTGGGTTCTCCCAACGGCTTGGCACAACCCAGTGAGGGGCACTGGTGGAATTCCCTCCATCAGACAAGGACACCAGGCTCTGTGTTGGTGCCACGGCTAAGGCTCCCCATAGCATCTTAGTGGGGAAGGGTGGAGAGGACACAGGTGAGCCATGCCCGGGCAGGGCCTTTGACCCCTGGAGTCCTTCAGAGTCCCGGCTCTGTAGTCACTGACCTGGCCAAGTCCTCTCGACCCACACTGCGCAGGTGCCTCCCTCCCCCTCCCACTCACCTGACTCCACAACAGTCCCTGAAGATGCTTCCACCTCTACTCCATGGTCCCCTGGCTGGGAGATTGTGTCCTCCCCTTCCCTGCACACCAGGCCCAGCCACCAGACTGGACAGACCCATCTAACCCCTGAGCACCGGCATGGCAGGGTCAGAGGCCACATCCCATTCACCTCACTGTGTCCCTGGTACCTGGTGGGAGCAGCCTGGCTGGAGTGTAGCGGACACAGCCTTGCACCAGCCCCCGTCCTCACCTGCTCGCAGAGGGAGCGCAGTCCCATGTCGTCGAGGCGGTCCAGCTCAAAGGTCTCGCCCAGCATGGGGTTGAAGGGCTTGGCGATGCGGTTCACCGTGGTGGAGTAGGAGGATACAGAGAAGGCAGCCACCAGGCACATCTGCTCCACTGGGTTAGTGCAGTTGACCGCCTTGTCCAGCAGGTGGTGGTACTCCAGGTCCTCTGTCAGCCGCTGGAGCATGGACAGGGGCTCATTAAAGTTAACCTGTGGGGAAGGCGGTAGTGGTCAGGCAGGCGCTGGCTGGGGGTGCCTGGGCAGCCACCCCCATCTTACCTGAGCAGCCCGCTGAGCCCCACTAAGATGCTGTTCCCAGCGCAGAACCTGGGGTTGACACAGCATCATTGCTTTCACAGATGTTTGAGGATATCCTGCCCCAACGGCACCTTCATGGTGAGGTTCCCTGGCGGCTCTGCCTAAAACTGCAGCCCTCTGCACTTCACCTCCCAGCTCTTTCCTGCCTCAGTTTTCTCCAAAGCACTCACCATTTTCTGACATACTAGATATTATGCTTCCTGTCAGTCTCCTCCTACTAGGATGGAGGCTCCGTGAAGGCCAGGTCTCTGACTTGTTCACTGCTTGTATTCAGCACTGAATCACATGAAGCGTTCAGTTCTTACTGGCTGACTGACTGACCTCAGTCAGAATGGATGAATCGGGTCTTCCTTTTGTGAGCTGTGGAGCCCTGGTGGTACAGTGGTTAAGCGTTTGGCTGGTACCCAAAAGGTCGGCAGTTCAAATCGGTCAGCCACTCCTTGGAAGCCCTATGGGGCAGTTCTTCCCTGTCTTATAGGGTCACTATCAGTCAGAATCGGGTTTGTTTTTTTTCAGATTGTGAGCTGTACCAGGACCAGTTGGTGATGCAGTGGTTAAGCACTCAGCTGCTAACCAAAAGGTCAGCAGTTTGAACCCACGAGCCACTCCGTGGGAGAAAGGATATGGCAGTCTGCTTCTGTAAAGATTTACAGCCTTGGAAACCCTATGGGGCAGTTCTGCTCTATCCTACAGGTCACTATGAGTCATAATTGACCCGACAGCAATTTTTTTTTTTTTTTTTTTTTGTGAGCTGTTAGTTAAGTTTCTGTCTAGGCGTTCAGTGGTGGGGCCAGGGTGGGGGTGGGTGGGGCCAGGGTCCTGATGGGTGGGCCCAGGGCCTCCAATGGGCAGGTCCACCTTCTCCCATGATGCTGGGCTCTGACCCTTTGCCAGGCCTTGGGCAGAGAGTTTTTCCTGTGTTATCTCATTTCATCCTCCCAACATCTGTGAAGTCGGTACTATTATGATTCCCATTTTTCAGATGTGAACACAGAGGTCAGAGATGTAAAGTGACTTGTCCAGGGTTACGAAGAGTAAGCAAGTCAGGCCTGGAGCCACCAAGCTTGCCCTCCACAGAGACATCATCCCCGCCTAGTGGCCCAAGGCCACAGCTCTGCACTCAGCCTGCTGTGTGACCGGGGGCCGCTGCCTTGACCTTGCTAAGCCTCCATGTCCTGGGTGCAGGTGCAGGGACAGTGAGAAGCACAGAGAAGGCTCCTACCACCTCATCACACCCCAATCCTGCTACTCCCCAGCTAGGATGCAGGGACAGCGGACAGTGTGAGGTCTTGCCAGCCTGGAGGGGCCCTGGGGTTCCCCACATCTCTGGCCATGCAGAGCCGCCCCCTGCCCCTTCTCTCAAAGCCTGGAGATAGATATGAGCAAAGAAACAGGTACATGCTCCTTGGAGCCATCAAGAAAATGGCTCTCCAGGCTGCCTGTACTTCACGTGGCTGTCAGTCTCATCCACGCACAGGGGCGCACGTGGCACCTACCGGCATGGGGATCTTGGAGAGCTCCCGGCCGATGCAATTCTTCATGATGCTCCAGAGGTTAAGGCTGTAGTTGGGCTTGTCGGGGATGCGTGATCTCCTCTTGACTTTGGGTGGACCCTTGGGCCCAGGTGAGGTACCATCTAGCACCTGCCAGAGAAGCATGCGTGGCTGTCAGTGGGTCCAGAGTGCCCCCTTAGTACCCCAGGCCCCACCTTTACTCCTGCCTGACCTTGCACAGGGTGGCGGCAGAGGCACAGTGGGGACCCAAAGGCAGTCTGTCCCTTTGGCCCCATGCTGGGGGTGCTGGCCTCCCCGAGCCCTGGCTTCTCCCGTGGGGGTTCCTGCCGCACTTACGTTGTCTGCCGTGGTCCAGTCATCCACGGAAACTGCCCCTGTCCCACCCTCAGCTTTTCTGCAGGAGACACAAAGGGGACACATTATTTACAAACCCTGAGCCTTGTCCCACCTTCTGTTCAGATCTGCAGTGAGGTCCGAGGGGGCTGAGCTGCTTCTAGAATGGGAGCCCCCAGCAGCCTTTGGAACACTCAAGATGGGGGCTGCGAGACCCAGGGCATCTATTTGGAGAGGCTCCCACCTACGCCCTCGTCTGCGGTCTGTGCACACAGCCCCTCCTGGGGACTAGCTGACCCTGGCCCCAGATGAGCCAGAGGGTGGACATCTCTGGGAGAGCCTCCCAGAGCCCGTGGGCCCATCACAGAACAGACCCCACTGTGTCCTCTCCCATCTGCTTGCATGTCTCTCCATGGGAGTGGGATTCCTTAAGGGCAGGAAGTGAGTCTGAAGTGTCCCTGTGCCAGACCAATACTTGTAGAAGAGACGGTCAGCAGGGGATGCCATGTCTGAGGAGGTCCCACTCCCTGAAACCATGGCAGAGAGGATGGAAGAATCATCCAGGTCACTTAGCAGAATGGGGGAGGGGCACCGCAGACAGAGGGCAGCAAGAGCAGAGGCACAGGGCAGGACAGAACGGGACCTGGGTGGGACCTGCCTGCTGCCCATTGTAGCTGCAGTACAAGTGGGGGGTGGGGAAAAAAGCAGCAGGACAGGCAGGGGCCGTGTGGACTGTCAGGAGAGCCTGGGGAGCCAGGGACGAGTGCTGAGGGTCACCTGCATGCTGGCCAGGTGTGAGCAGAGGGGGCCTGGGCACTCAGGGGCTGGCTCAGAGCCACTGGAGCACCAGGACGTGAAGCCCAGGTCCCTGGAGTGGCAAGGAGCCAGGGGCCGCCTGGGCAGACCTTCCTGGCTGCATTGCCAAGAGGGTGATGCTGCCGGGTAATGAAGTGGAAGAAGAGCAGACCGGCTGAGCATGCTCACCTTGAGAGCGATATAAGCAATTTAAAAATGTTAGTGGAGAATGGAAAAATGATTCTGAGCTTGAAATACACTGCTGATGGGACCTGGAAGCTCCCTGAGGGTGAGAGGAATGCAAACCCCCTTTCCCGGAAGAAGCTGGGACAGGGAGGGAGTGAAGTGTCGGTCCATGTAGTGGTC